ATGACTCCAAATCTATAAAAAAGAAAGGCTCTATATAGGCCCCAGAGATTTTACCATGCTTGGGTCTGGGGTTAAAGCCCCCGGCTTCGCACACGGATTTAAAAAAAACACATGGATTCGTGTTGCCGAGCGACCCTATTTCGTACTTTATGGGGAAAACCCGTCGGCTTTCAAATCCCAAGCAGCTCATTTTGTGGTTATAGTACCTCCTCTTGTGGTTATAGCACTCTCTTTTAAATACCACTACGTTTTTTTAGTACTATGATATTATTATAATTCCGATCGAGCGTGGGATGGGGACAATGCACAGCTGGTACTCTTGACCCACTTACTTCAAGATTGCTGGTAAAACCTCGTTTAGGGTTTATGGTGCCTTCCATGACATCTGTCCCGTGGTTTTTGATGCGTGATGCTTTGATATTTGTCACAGGAGGGTATGTCACGTCGATTAGATTTAATATGCTGCTGTTCTGTAACTCCGTATCAACCATAATCTCATTTACAAATATTCAGTGTGTGTGTGTGGGAGCAACCTCCATGGAACCAAGCGCACGGCTTCATCGCCATCAGAGTGACGTTAATATAACTCGTCTTCGCTTTCCAGAAATACGGTCATTCAAAAATCACGAGGACATCATCCCGAATGAAATCGATACTCAAGAATGGAGGTGGTCAATTGAGGGCATCCGAGCGGTGGACATACGTTCTCTTCCGTGGTTAGGCTGGCTCTTCGTTTACGCTTTCGTTCAGTTCTACTTCTCCACCAGTCGCTGTCTCGCTCTCAAAACTCTAGTGAATATGTACGGAAGTTCCACGGATTACACAGTGGTGGTCAAGATATCAGCGTTAAGTCTTGGATTCCTCGAGGATTTCGTGTGCACGACGTACTTCGCGACTGCGCTTTGGACGTTGATACTCTCAAGCAAGTGGCGTTAGAGCGCTTAAAAACAACTAGCGGGATGCCGTTGGAGATTGTTGGGGAGATTGCTAATTTCACGGTCTCGTGGCTGCTGTTTATAGCAATGATGGCGCCTTTCATAGCTGATATGGTGCTGGTGGTATACCGCGACATGCGATTCTCGTTCAGTCTCCTCGCTACGTTGATCAGAGAGAGGGAACATCTCAAAGACGCTCCGATATCCAGTGACGAAGTCCAAGCAACCTACGTGACTGCAGGTTATCTCGCTGTTATTGCTGCCATGTTCGCATTGGTGCGAGTCTGGGCTAAGTGGGCTAATCTGGCACTCTGGAACCCGACGCAGCTAATACTGAATCCCGTGACTAACCTAACAATTGGGAAATCATTCAAGGAAGGTGCGGCAGGTGTCAAGTACGAATCGCTTTCTCTAGAAGATGGCGATAAAGCCTCAAACATTGGGATCAAAGCCTCAACTACTCGGTTTCAACTGGTACGCGTTGCTGTCGTCATCCTGAGCCTTGTGGTGTTACCTGCGATTGCTGTGGTAGCCCGGAGCGCTTGCTCGCCGCTCGTGGCGTACACAGCGTTAAACGTGACACTGAACGAGTTGCTTCTCCACATGTTCGAACCTGCCCCCATGGAGGTGAAACTTGCAAACTTAATCGGGGATGGACCGTGGGTAGAGAAGTTCATCGACAAGGCCGAAGATCACGAGCGCTTTGGAGATGATACACTGTACCGACGCACCACAGGCTTCAAAGGAGAGCTAGCCTTTAACGTCACAATTGACAACGACAATCCGCCAAATGTTTTAATCATTGGAGTGGAATCTTTCCGGTACCGAGACTCGCGGTACCTCGTGGGAGAGGAAGACCCGTCAAACTTGTTCAAAGGCACAAATTTGACAATAACGCCGAATTTCGACCGATGGGCGAAGCGAGGCGTCGCCATGCGCAATATTTGGTCCAGTATCCCGACCAGTCGGTCTCTGGAAAGTCTGTTATTTGCGCAAGTTCCTTACCACAGCAACACACAGAGTGGGATCACAGGAGGAAGAAATGAGACGAAGCTTTCAGGACTGCCCCAACTTTTCTCTCAAAAAGGCTATGAAACATTTTTCACCACGGGATCGTCAATAAAGCTGGATGCGTGGAATGTTTTTTTGCCTACACATGGCTACGACAATGTGTGGAACGACAAGGTGATGAAGTGGATGGCGGAGGAGAAGTTCAATATCAGTCGCGATGACTGGAGAGGCAGTGAACACCGAGGGCTCGGCTGGGGTGTCCATGATGACGTCAGCTTTCGACTTGTAGGCGACTTGCTACTGAACAAACTGAAGCAGCAAAGAAAAAGAATGGCGCGTGGGGAGCCAAAGAAGCCCATGTTTGTCACGCACTACACAATTTCGAGTCACGAACCTTATAAATCATGGCCCAAATGGTACCAAAAGTCTGCAAAGCCCGACTTTTCAGCCATGTACGAAGGCGAGGAACACGCAGACAGGATCGAAAGGTACATGAAAGTAAGGTATTTTACCGATATGGAGCTTGGCAAGTTCATGGATCGTATGCAGAAAGGAGGGTTCCTCAATGACACTATCGTGGTCATTGTAGGCGACCACGGCCAAGCGCCCGAAATCGACAATTACCACTTACATGAGGAATCTGTGACGCGTGTACCAGCCGCGATCATTGCCGAAGGTCGACTGGGAGACGCTGTGGGTCTCGTGATCGACGACGCAGCAGAGCAGTACGACATTCTCAATACTCTCGCGGACATTACCGGCTTACCGACGGGAGGATTCCAGCAGAATGGCATTGGACGCTCACTCAAGCGTAAAATTCCTTTCGGGAAGCGTGTGGTGTTCAGTAACGACCCATTGCGAAGGATGGCGGTTATCCGCGGTCACGAGCGTCTCAGTTATGACGCTGTCACCCAGTCAATGATGCTTCACGACACTGAAAAGGACTTCCACATGACAACGGATCTGCTGCCTTCACTCAAGCCGGAAGAACGCAAGGAGTGGGAAGCTCTGCGAGAGGATGGACGTCTCATTACTGCATATTACAAGAAGCGATGGGACGAGAATTGCTTGCTCGCTGTTACGTGCAACAACACTAGCTACGTATAGAGATAGCGCTCTAAATCAGGAAGTATTACTACCTCCGTTCTGAAAAAGATAACCATTCATTACAGCCTACCCAAAACAATACCCCCTCTATGCCGATCACTTTTTGGATTTCGAATCTCCCGCGCTTTCCCGACCAGACTGCTCCCTGGGGGAGATCACAGACAGTGCCGTCTGGGAGACCTCACTGTTTCGCAGCGTGGGAGGAGTGCTCAAACATTGAGAGATCGTTCGGGTTGCAGCGTACTTTCCGTGTGGCCCGCCAAGTTGTCGAGCGAATTTGGAGGCGTGGAATCATTTCGATGGGAGATCGAGTAGCAGCCGTGGTCAAGTCAAGGAAGAGCGCATGTGGTAGGAAGAAGGTGGTTCGAGCTGAGCTGTGCGAGAGAATCGCTGCAGTTCCTGTCAATGAGCGCAAAAACCAGCGTCTGCTTAAGCGCGCGTCCAACATGAGCTGCTACCTGGTTCAGCAGCTAATCAAGGAAGGCTACATACGGCGTGCGCTCAGACAGACCCACGCACAAGTTAGCGCGCCTCCGGCACAAGGACAAGCAAGTACGAGCTGGCACTCTCCCTACGTCACTGCCTTGTGACGCTATCTCACTCGCCAATGCTAACGCGTACATGCTGTTTCTTGCAGCGAGCAGCCCCCCACCGCCTACCGCTGAAGTTCCAGAAGCCCCACTGAGCGCCCCTTCAGAATGTGGCGATGTAGTTGCCGTCTTAGATCCGTTTTTGTATCTGTAGTTGTACGGCGGAGCAAGAACGCCTGTGCCTTGCTTAGTTTCTCACTGTCAGCTCTCGGTCATAAAGCTAGCTAGCCAGCCTCTCACAAATTAATAAACGCTCAAATGAACGAGGCGGAGCGCTGCGCAAAAAAAAACATCTTTTTCCGAGCGGAGGTAGTATAGTATTTCGCTGAGGGAGAGTTCTTTTGGTAGATCTAATACTTCAAGTATACATGTAGTAGTACAAGGAAGCGCTTTGCGGCGCAGTCGCAGTATCCACAGTCACCTCGATCGGTGACATTTGACTATCAGAAGAAAAGAAGGCTGTTCACGAGGCAACGGAATAAATCAATTAGCCTATCCGTCGGAAATGTATTACAATCAAAAGGAGAGATAGCATGAACGTTAGAGATTGCAGTACCCAATTGGAGTGGAATCTGCAACACTTGTCTGCAGCACCGATTTTTTTAAATTGATGCTATCCTAGCAAAACAGCGTGTGCCTCTCCGATGGCCTTAGCTGCAAAATTTATCGGCTCTCCTTCAGGACCATGATCCCTACTAGTAGCGAAGAAGTGTGCGAGATCGCCAAGTATGAATGGCGTAAGACCTTTCT